GAGAAGAGTAATTCTCGAGTTGATGGTTTGAAGGTAATCTCTCATTGATGATTTAAAGCAAACATGGTTTTAATTGTGGCTCCGTTATGTATGGAACGGAAATGTGTGTGCGCGTGTTGGTTGTTTTCATGCATGTGCATGTGTGTGTGAGAGAGAACAATATTTGCTAACTCTGCTGGTTCAATTCAGCCCAAGCACACTGGATTTACGCACTGGCTGATCTGATTTTGGTCGGTTTCGGTGGTCTGGCATGGTATTTTAAAGAATAATTTAAAAACTTAAAGTGATTTGTTTGTAATGTGTTTTGAATGTTATTTATCATTTTTGCAAAAACTGGAAAATGTTTTGGCATGATTACTTATTTTTATTTTTTTATATTATTTCTATAGTGCCCCTAGGTACAAATATATTTTTTAAATCTACTTTTTCGCTACTTTACTACTTTAGTTGGATGTGCTTTTTTAATTATGCATTAAATATATTTTTCATATTTATATTGATTTTTTTTTATAATTTTAATTTTATTTTTTTAATATTTTTTATAACGTCCTTGACCTGCCCGGTCAGGCCGGTGAACCGGCCGGTTTACCAAATATTGCCCTTGGCCAGTTTCTGAGTTTGGTTCAATTTATCGAACACCAAGGGGAAACATTTTCCCTAAGGATTGAAAGCTATTGCGAGAGGTGGTGAAGATGTGGAAATTTTAAGTACAAATGGAGGGTTGGTGGACATTTGGGGATCGTTTGCCACTATAAGGGTGCTCTTGTTTGTTTATTTAGGCAGACGCTACTAGGGTTCCACTAGCCAAATAGAAATTACAAGTAAAACTTATTTCTTTTTTCCTTAATGGCCCATTTGGATCCATGGATTGTTTAATCCTCGGAAAAGTCTTTCATAGAATTGAGATTTACTAGAATTGACATTTCCTGAAATCAGGTGTATGCCATTTGGATTGCATCTAGGAGAAATCAAGGAAATACAAATTGTTTATTTGGATTGCTTGGAAATTTTTTTTTTGGAAATGCAAATCCTCTCTCTAAAAATGTTGAGATAGTTTATCTCTCTAAACTTTTTTCTAAAATTTGAAATAGTCTCTAAAATTTGTGTCCTTGAAAATTTTATATACTTTATTTCTATCAAAAAAATTTTATATACTTTCTCTCTCTAAAACTTAAAGTTTAAAATAGTTTCTCTCTATAAAAATTTTGAGATAGTTTCTCTCTCTAAACAATTTTAGGCAGTTTTTCTTTTTAAAATTTTAAGATACTTTCTCTATCTAAAATTTTAAATTTGAACTAGTTCTTTCTAAAACTTTTAGTATAGTTTCTCTCTCTAAAAAATTTTAGGTACTTTCTCACGCTAAAATTTGATATAGTTATTCTCTAAAATCTTTAAGATGCTTTCTCTTTCTAAAACTTAAATTTTGAGATGCTTTCTCTCTCTAAAACTTAATTTTTGAGATAGCTTCTCTCTCTCTAAAAATTTTCAAGTACTTTCTCAGTCTAAAATTTAGTATAGTTACTCTCTAAAATATTGAGATGCTTTCTCTCTCTAAAACTTAATTTTTGAGATTGTTTCTCACTGTAAAACTTTTGGGCAGTTTCTTTATCTAAATTTTAATATACTTTCCCTTTAAAACTTGAAATTTGAGATATTTTAGCTATCTAAATTTTTTAAATTGTTTCTCTCTCAAAAAATATCAGGACTTTCTCTATTTAAAATTTGAGCCCTGTTTGGAAGGACTAGTTAATTAACTTATTTCATCTCTATACTAGTGTTTTGTCAATTCTTAGACATAAAACATTGGTGTTTATGTAGAAATACAAATGCACCTAGAAAATCTATCGGAAAATGTTGGTTTAATGTTGAAAAAACCTCTAATTGATCATCTAGACATCGAGATGTATGAATATGAAAAAAAAAAAATTTGAGTGCCAAAAATAATGCATCTTGCAATACATTATTTATACCGTCCATTTTCAAGATTTTTATATGTTTATAGATATAGTTGGTTTTAACCATTTTTGGAGTTTAAAATGTTAAAATTAGATATGAAAATAGATTTTGAGATAATCCTAAGAATTTGTTTCAACAAAATTAATGAAATTTTAAAGTGCGCTTCTCTAAATAACTATATCAAGAATTTTAGTGTGAGAACCATTTTTTCTCTCTTTCCCTATAAAATAGTGGGATCAATTACAAAATGGGAACATTGTATTATCAAATTATTACAAAATAGGAACATTGTATTATCAAATTATGGGGTGGTATTCATGCTTTTTGCCTTTTTTTTATTTTTCAATTTACCCCATATAAACCAAATACCGGACTATTTGTTGCCCCAAAACCATTCAACCCTCTGGTGCCTCCCGAAAAGTTCCCCTCTTTCTCTAAATAGAAAAACGCTTTTGATTTTAGACAGAGAGAGTCACGAGGGTCAATGGAAGGGGTGCCTACAAAGCTTACGGGGAGGAAAAGAATGAGGGGCTCCGTTCCACTCTCTCTCTCTTCAAAGTTCATGCTTCTAAAGCTTCTTGCTCTGTTATCTTTCTTTTGGGTTTTATTTTAGAGATGCGATGCATTTTGGTGGGGATTTTTGTGCTTGGGGTCAGCCTCTTTACATCAATTCCAATGGGTTTTGTTCGTTTTAAGATGGGTTTGTTTGGGGGCGAAGAATTTTACTTAGTTTGATTATCTTGAGATAGAAGGTACATTTTAGTCATTTATTCCGGTATTTCAAACACTAGACAACAAATATTAAAAACACTAAAAAAACACAAAGCTGTTTGAGCACCGAATAACATTTTTTTACTTTGACAGCGTCTTTTTTTACTTTGAAAGATATAAGCTACTGTCTGATATAATTTGGGAACACAATGTTCCCCTTTTGAATTTGATCCCCAAACATTCTAAAAAATTAATTGCCATGGCTTTCTTTCTATGCCAAAGGGCTTAGGTTCGGTTCCTGATGGATTAGTCAATTGACGTTTTTCATCTCTATACTTGTATTTCGTCTATTATTAAAGGGGAAAGTTTATATATAGCCTCTGAGGCTCTAAACAATCAAATTAGAGCCCACCTCAAAATTTCACTTGAAGAGGTTGTTTTGATGTTTAAATATAATTAAATTGGCCATCTTGACATCAAGATGCATGGACATGAGAAAAAAATGGACTTCAAGTTTTGAAAATAGTGCATGAGAAAAAAATGGATTTCAAGTTTTGAAAATAGTGCATGAGAAAAAAATGGATTTCAAGTTTTGAAAATAGTGCATCTTGTAACGTATTTTTGGATCGTCAATTTTCAAGTTCTCATAGATCCACTCGATCTACACTATTTTTTTATATTCATGATCTCTAGGTTAAAGATTAAATGTCCTTTAAAATTAAATTCTAAAATCCATCTCAAATGTAGGCTTGGCCGCATAGAAATACAAGTAGGTCATAAATACCTTTAGCCATCAGATTTCAAATAGGACAGCTTGAGTTGTTTCACGAAATTTGAGAAATTTTTTTTTGAATTTTAAACCTAATCAATGATACATTCACAACCAACTGATTTGATAAACAACCTCCAATAATAGTGATATTAAAGTATTTCTAAAACCCTTCCCTAATAGAGTCTTAAGAAAAAAAATGAAAGCCGTGCCACCTTAATTGATAGGTCACTTATTTGAAAGGAAAACTAGACAATAAAACTATCTATAATGAGAGGAGTATGTCACAATCACTTCGGCTGTTTGATGAATTTTTTAAACTTTGTGGCATATCACAAACCGTGAGTAGATTTAATTTGACAGCTCTAGGAGATTGAGAAACCTCCTTGTACGAAAGACAAATAGAACTGCTGAGTGGTCTGAAACATTTCCTTTAGCCTCTGTGAAAGGCCTTCCTAGACCTTCTTCTAATCATACTCCTATCATGTTAGCCTCTAATTTTTGGTCGGAGGCACAAAACCTTTCAGATTCAAAGTTGGGTAGTTACAGGAGAAGGATGTTCTTGACCTTATCAATAAAACCTGGGACAATTCTATTTTTGGTGGGACTCTTGACTTCCAAATTCATAAACAGTTGTTGAATATTAAACATAAACTTATGGATTGGAAAAGAGATAAGTGTTATTCTGTTAAAAAGAAAGTGGAATAAGTGTTGGGAGCTATTGAGGGGTCTGATAAGTTATGCAACAGTCTGGGGAGTGGTTTGAAGAGATGACTGGTGTGAGAAGTGCCAAATTGAATGAGTTACAGGAGCTAAGAAGAGTGGAAGAGGTGTAATGGAAATAAAGGTCAGTGGTGAAGTGGCTAAAGGAAGGTGATATAAGCATTAATTTTTTCCATGCAATTGCTAATACTAGGAGACGTCAAAATGATGTTTCTGGTCTTATTATCTAAGGAGTTGATGCTGATGATAATAACGGGATGACTCAAACTATTATTAATCACTTTTAGTGTGCCTTTACTTCTGAAGTAAAATTCACTCCTAGACTCAGTCGTGTGGGTTTTAGAGTTCTCCCGCCTAATCTCATTCATATATTGGATAGGGATGTCTCTATGGATGAACTAAAAGAGATTGTCTTTGCTCTCTCGGGTGATAAGGCACTTGGTCCAAATGGCTTTTCATTAATCTTTTTTCATAAATTCTGAAATTTGATTAGTAGTGAGCTATTAGAAATGACCAGGGGTTTTTTATGGAGAGGAAATCTATTTAGAGGGTGAACTCTACACTCATTGTTTTGATTCTTAAAAAGTCTGGTGTGGTTATCAAACTTGACATGGAGAAGGCCTATGATAGTGTGGAGTGAAAAATTCTGTTCGAAATTATGAAAAATATGGGTTTCAGTGATAAATTAAGACAATGGATATTTGGTTGCTTATCTTCAACCCACTTTTCCATTTCGTACAAAGGGAGTTCGATTGGGTTTTTTAAGGCTACACGAGGTCTTCGTCAAGGGGACCCCCTCTCTCCTTTTCTCTTTACCATTTATACAAAGTATTTTAGTTTGATGTTGACAAATGTGGCAAGGAATGGGCACTTCTCGGGTTTTCAAATGCTTAATGGGAGACCTTGTATCTTCTATTTGCAGTATGCTGATGATACTCTAATCTTTTGTGAAGCTCAGAGTTCTCAGGTTACCAATATTGTTACATTGCTGAAATGTTGCGAAGTTGCCTTAGGCTTAAAGGTTAACTTCGAGAAAACAAGTGTTGTTGGCTTAACTTGCAGTGATGAGGAGGTGTGGTCAACAGCGCAGTGGCTGGGGTGTAAGGTAGAAAAATTCCCGATTACTTATTTGGGGATGCTGTTATCAGATGGACGCCTTCCAATTGCTGCCTGGGATAAAATTCTACAGCGCATCCAAGTTAAACTTGATCTATGGAAGTTTAAATATCTCTCATTTGCAGGAAAGGTTACGTTTATTAAGGCTTGTCTGTCGAAGTTATCTGTTTATCAAATGTCAATTTTACAAATCCCTTCTTCGGTGGCTAGGAAAATTGAAACGACGATGAGAAACTTTCTTTGGGGATCCTCAGTGGAGACAAGGAAATTTCGTCTTCTTCGATGGGATAGGGTGTGCACGCCCAAGAAGGAAGGGGGGCTCGGCATTAGGAAATCAAAACTGTTAATCAAGCTTTACTCTGTAAGTGGTGGTGGGGGAGTTTAATTCTTAAAGATCACCTCTAGTATGAAGTCATTGCTTCGAAGTATGGGTCGGATTGTTTTAGTATATGGGTGGGGGCTAGAAGTGGAATTAGGGGAATGTCTGCTTGTTGGAGGTCTATTCATTCCTGCAAAGGTTTTATTCATAGAGATAATCGTTGGTTCATGACAATGGCAGCAATATTTCTTTCTGACACCACAAATGGTTGGGGGATTCTCCGTTGAAAATACTCTTTCCGTTGGTTTTCCAGAGGATGGCCAACCCCAATGCTACTGTTTCAGATAGTTTTGTTTGTAGGGGTGACCAAATTGTGTGGAGTATTAATCTTCCATATAATAGAATCCCTGACTCTCTTTTCTCTTAACTCTCTGGTTTACTAAAGTTATTGGAGAAAGTCTATATCCCTCTTAATGCTGAGGATGAGGTGGTATGGGAGATTGATACAAATGGAGTTTATTCGGTGAAGTCCATACCTATTACTTTTGCACGATAGATAGAGATGGTTCATGCCTGAGATAACCATTATCTGAAAATCGCATCTTCCTCTCAAAGTACAAGGCTTTTATGGCTGGCGGTTCAAAATAAGGTGCTCACGATAAATAATCTTATCAAGAGAGGGAAAATTCTGCCAAATATTTGTCTCATGTGTGAGGCTGATGGGGAATCTGGCGACCATCTCTTCCTTCATTGTCCTTCTGCTCTTCGCCTCTAGAGTTTGTTCTTTGTTCAACTTGAGATTGCATTTATATTGCCACCTTCAGTGGTTAGGATCTTACAAAATTGTATGGTTGATTTGTCACGAACCAGAATTGTTATTTGACAAATTATTAGAGGTGTCATTCTATGGGAAATCTGGAAACAGAGAAATAAGAGTGCTTTTGAGGGGATATGTCTGCCTTTTGGAAAAATATTGGAGATAGTTTTGCACTCAATTTGGTTATATCTTTTAGTTACTAAAGTTGGTCAGGACATATCGGAAGCGGATGCCAGAAAAAATTTAAATAATTTGTTTCATATGGGTTTCTTTAAATTGTAGACCTAACTGAAGATAGGTGGCTTCACTCCTTGATGTATACAAGCTTAATTTTGACGGCAGTTAGATAAGGAATCCAGGCCCAGCTGGCTTTGGTGGTGTGCTTAGGGATTGGATGGAGAACGTGATCTTTACGTACGCAGGTCCACTTGGGATGCGTATAGCTAATTTTACAGAAGTTGTTGCTCTTTTCTATGGTCTGCGTATCTTTGTGGAAAAGAATGTGGGGTGTTATTGTATCCTTGAAGGGGATTCTCTAACTATCATTAAGTGGTGTAAAGGGGAGCAAAAGCTGTCTTCGGAGCTCAAATCTTAGTTGCTTCAGATTTTGGACCTCGCATCTTCTTTTTCCATTTCCTTTGTTCATGTTTATAGGGAGGCCTATGTGTTGCAGACTCTCTTGCTAAAAGAGGTTCCTCCCTTCCTGAAACTATTGTTTCTTATTCTGTAATTTCGTTCTAGCTTAATACAACTGTGGAATTTCTGTCAAAAATAAAATAAAATAGAACTACTTACCCATAAACAAAAGGACATGGTTTCTATGTGGCCAAGCCCGCATATGTAGCAATACAGGCCTCTTAATAAATCTATTTTTAAGATGGATTTTAATAATTAATTTTTAAGGACATGTAATCTCTAACATGGAGATTATGAAAACCAAAAAATAGATAAGTTTTAAAATAGAAATAATAATTCTAGTAATAAAACATTTGGACAAAATAAATAATTTTTAAAATAAAAATAATAATTATAGTAATAAAACATTCAAACCGTTAGTTCCTATATTTTTAAGATGGAACACATACTTGCATCCATATTTAAAATGGGTGCTTTATACTTTTTTGGACCGCATATGTAGAAATGCAGTCTAGCCTGCATGAAACAATTTTCCAAAACAAAAAGTCAAATACAACTAATATTATGGGATCATATTTGAAATATTTATATCTATGTTTGTATAACGCAGAAGCTAGTATTGAGAAATATGATTTCAATATTGAAAAGCCTTGTGATAGCCTTAAATTATATTTTCATCTTTACTTATAATATTTTTTTTGATAGAAGTCTTTACTTATAATTTTTAAAGCTTAAAAAATAGTGTAGATCGAGAAGTTCTATGAAAACTTGAAAATCTTGAAAATTGACGGCCCAAAAATGCTCCATTTCAAAAACTTGAAATCCACTTTTTTTCTCATGTCCATGCATCTTGATGTGGAGATATTTGATAGCCTAAGCTCTCTATAAACTTTTCCCTTACTTAAAATACTGAAAAAAAAAAATCCGTGTCCAAACAAAAGAAAAGCACCGTCATTGTGGCAAACAATCCCTAAATCTTCGTTCACTAACCACCCTTCCTTTCACTCCCCGAAATGACCACATCCTCACTACCTCTCGTAACTGCGTTTAATCCTTTTGGGCAAAATCTCTTCTCAATGTTCGAGAAATCTAACCAGACTCAGAAACTAGCCAAGGGCTAGGTCTAAGTAACCGGTAAACCGATTCACTTAGCCTAACCGAGCAATCCAATAAGTGCTAAAAAAATAAAAAAATACAAAACAAATCTAAAAAATTATGAAAAGTATATTTAAAACATAATTAAACAAAGCACATCCAAATAAAGTTGAGAAGCAGTGAATAAAATGAAATTTAAAAATTGAATTCTACCCGAGGTACTTTAAATATAATACAAAAAAGAAGAAGAACGATAGAGCAAATTAGGCTCGGACACCTACATTGCTTTTGATATTCAAGGTGCGGTTTGTATAGAGCCTAGGCTCTAAATAATCAAATTAGAGCCTACCTTCAAATAGTGTCGAGAAATGTGATTTCAATATTAGAAATTTTTGTGTTAGCCTTAAAATATGTTTTCATCTTTATTTATAAAGTTTAAAGCTTAAAAAATATTATAGATCGACAAATCTATGAAAACTTGAAAATCTTGAAACTTGATGGTCCAAAAATACGTTACAAGTTACACTATTTCCAAAACTTGAGATCAATTTTTTTTTCTCATGTTCATGCATCTTGATGTCGAGATGATTAATTTGATGATATTTGGGCATATAAACAATCTCGTTAAATTTTTGAGGTAGGTTCTAATTTGATTGTTGAGAACCTTCGGCTCTATATAAACTTTTTCCTTCAAAATATTGATATTCAAAGTAACCATGATATTTACTAGGTACGTAACTGTTATTCAATTTATGGTGCGGAGCGGTTTAAACAATCAAATTAGAGCCTACCTTCAAATAGTATCGAGAAATGTGGTTTCAATAGTAGAAATCTTTGTGATAGCCTTAAAATATATTTTCATTTTTATTTATAAAGTTCAAAGCTTCAAAAATAGTGTAATCGACATATCTATGAAAACTTGAAAATCTTTGAAATTGATGGTCCAAACATGTGCTACAAAATACACTATTTCCAAAACTTGAGATCCATTTTTTCCTCATATTCATGCATCTTGATGTCGAGATGATCAATTTGTGGTTATTTGAGCATCAAAACAATCTCTTGAAATTTTTGAGGTAGGCTCTATATAAACTTTTGCCTTCAAAATATTGATATTCAAAGTAACCAGGATATTTATTAGGTATGTAACCATTATTCAATTTATGGTGCAGAGCGCTTTAAACAATCAAATTAGAGCCTACCTTCAAATAGTATCGAGAAATGTGGTTTCAATAGTAGAAATCTTTGTGATACCCTTAAAATATATTTTCATCTTTATTTATAAAGTTCAGATCTTTAAAAATAGTGTAGATCGACATATCTATGAAAACTTGAAAATCTTGAAAATTGACGGTCCAAAAATGCGTTACAAAATACACTATTTCTAAAATTTGGAATCCATTTTTTTTCTCATGTTTGTGCATCTTGATGTCGAGATGATCAATTTGAGGATATTTAGACATCAAAACAACTTCTTCTAGTGAAATTTTTGAGGTAGGCTCCAATTTGATTGTTTAGAACCTCGGCTCTATATAAATTTTTCCTTTCATATGCTTGAACAATATGTTATCTCTAAAGCATGTTTAGTTTATGTCTCTCCATGATCTCCCTCCTATATTTCATCACAAGTCTAGTAACCGTTAAGGGTATGTTTGTTACTTTTAGGGGCAGTTATCAAAACTGACGCACAAAGAGGAAGCAGCATTCAGTTTGCGGCCCGAGTCCTACGTGAGAAAGTAGGTGGTTAACTCTTCCCCAAATCCTCTATAAAAGCCCCTCAATTGTGTACTTCCCTTATCATCAATTACATATTCTCTCTCTCTTTTCCCATCTCTCTCTTTTCATATCATCATCCGGATTTTTCTCTCTATTCTCAACGTTTTGGGAAAATGGAAGATTTGATGTGTTCATGCTTTCCACAGGGTTTCTTGAACATGCTGCTCGAACCCGTCTTCTTCCATGCTATGGAGAAGCAAAGTTGAGTAACAAGTTTAAGAATGCCTGCGGAAATCATAGAATGAATCATAACGTCGGTCACAATGCATGTTCCAAGGTAAATAATATTTTTACATGAATTCAAGTAGAGTAATTCTCGAGTTGAATGGTTTGAAATTCGAAGGTAAAGAAAATTTTTACATGAATTCGAGAAGAGTAATTCTTGAGTTGATGATTTAAAGCAAATGATTATCAATGCCCCGTTATGTATGGAACGTAAACGTGTGTCCACGTGTTGGTTGTTTTCATGCATGTGCATGTGTCTGTCGAAGAGAGAACACTGTTTGCTAACTCGGCTGGACCAACTCAGGCCAGGCAAACTGTAACGATGTACTTGCTTATCCGATTTTAATCGGTTTAGGTGGTCCGGCGGGGTATTTTATTTGGATTTTTTTATGTATTTTTATTTTTTATTTTTTTAATACTTTTTGGACTGGCCTTGACGTGCCCAGTTAGCCCTGGTGATTTGCCAATTACTTAAATGCTGCTCTTGGCTAGTTTCTGAGTTTAGTTCAATTTATCT